TGAGAAGGTTGCTGCAGCAATTAGAAGAGACCACCGAGGCTTCATTCCTCCCACAAGGTCTTCTGAAATTTGCCTCCCATTCTGTGATTCCTGTTTCACTTGTTGGTTTCATCATCTTTTAATCCTGCTTTCCTGGAAACCCAAATGGTTCCGATTGCTCCATAACCAGAACTGTTTGCAGTGTCCTCTATCTGCTGATACCATGAGTTCAGTGAATACATAAAGTTTATTATGTGCTGTCATTTTTGTGGACAGAAATAGCTCTTGTAGCATTTGCACAAGAGTGGATGCATACTGGGAGGAGTGGAAGGAAATATTTATCCCACATGAGGCTGACACAACCTACCAAGTCATTTCAGAAGGTCCATTGGAATCCAAGCAATACACCACTGGCACAATTTTGAATCGCAAGATCTCGCTCCATGTCCTGGATTCATGATTTAATTGCTTGGGCAAGACCCTTCTCCACCCTGAACTTCTGTTTCCACATCTGTAAAGTGGGAATAAACTAATCCCGGCACTGATTATCTCGCAGAGATTTTGTGAGGATTAGTTAAGAGAGATGTGAAAGAGCTTATAAACTGTCCATTGCAGCATAGGTGTTAGCGATTAGTTACCAGGGAAGAGAAACTCTGGGATGGAGCAGAAAGCAGCAGCATGAGGAACCTCCTCCCCCTCCCCCCATGTTGTGAAGTCTGCGGACGTTCTTCTGCTTCGGGGCACAGTGGAGGGCTGGGCTTCCCGCATGGTGGGATGTGTATGGGTCAGAAATAGCATCCCCGACCTCTCCCCTGTCCTCATCGGCGGCCTTGCTGAGGAGCCTCACCTGTCCCCTTGTCTCTGCGTTGGGGCCGAGCACTGGTCGCTGCGCTCTCAGAAGACCTGGACTCCAGGGCTGGTCCCCCAGTAATGCTTGAGCAAGGCAAAGCCTCATTCAAGCGAAGACTTTGGATTCTAAACCTAGATGATCTAAATTTGAACTCCAGCTCTGCTAGCAATTAGTGATAAATCCCTGAACGTTTGCTTAGTCTTTCTGTGCCCCAGTGTGCTCGCTTGTAAAATAAGGATCATGGCAGCACTTAGAAGGCTGCTGGGCGGGCTGGACTGTTTAATGCAAAACAAGTGCTCAGAGCAGGAAAGGTTAGTTCTCCCTGACTGAGTTTAACTCTTGCTGTGTGCGTGGTGTGTGTGTGCACGTGTGTGTGTGTTCTGCGTGCCCCTCTCTGTGCAGTCCCAGTTGAGAAACCACTCTAGAATTTACCTCAGGTCCTAAATGGGTGGCTGTCTTTTCCCACATCCATCCTGTTCCATTTTGGCTCTCCATCCTGGCCTCGTGAACTCTTGGTTCCAAACTCGCCTGGGGGCCTGGAGATCCCTAAGTGACATGTAAGGGGAGGGGAGTAAAGGAGGAAGACAGTGGTTCATATAGTCTTCAAAGGACACAGAGGCTGAGAGAGAGGCAGGCCGTGAAGGGGTCTTGTGGTTGCAATAAGGTCTTAATTCAATTATGGTCAATTTCCCTCATGGACAGATGAGGAAACAGATTCAGGGATGCCCAGGGTCACACACTTTATTTTTTTAAAATTAAGTTATAGTCAGTTCACAATGTGGTGTCAATTTCCAGTGTAGAGCACAATTTTTCAGTTATACATGAACATACATATATTCATTGTCTCATTCTTTTTCACCGTGAGCCACCACAGGATCTTGTATGTACTTCCCTGTGCTATACTGTATAATTTTGTTTCTCTATTCTACATATGCCTGTCAGTATTGATAAATTTCGAACTCCCAGTCTGTCCCTTCCCACTGCCCTCCCCACTGGCAACCACAAGTTTGTATTCTATGTCTGTGAGTCTGTTTCTGTTTTGTACTTATGTTCATTTGTCTTTTTCTTTCTCTCTTCTTTTTTTTTTAGATTCCACATATGAGCAATTTCATATTGTATTTTTCTTTCTCTTTCTGGCTTACTTCACTCAGAATAACATTCTCCAGGGACATCTATGTTGCTGCAAATGGTGCTATGTTGTTGTTTTTTATGGCCGAATAGTATTCCATTGTATAAATATACCACCTCTTCTTTATCCAGTCTAAGTCTAATTCATCAAGTCCTGTTGATTCCATTGTCTTCATATTTTTCAAAGGAGGACAGAGTTTAGAGAAAGGGACAACTACATCAGTGCTGTGAGAGCTTACGAAAGATGGTTCTTAATTTCCTAGCACATGTCCCAGGGTATAACTCAGTTTTTATTTGTGTGGGTACTTGTTTGGACCCTTTAGCCCCCTTGCCTTGACAAGGGCAAGATCCCGACTCCTTTGTATTCAGGCTTGGCACATTCCCTGAACACAGCGGGTGTAGATCCTGGCCAACACACAAGGATATTCGGGTGAGGAGCCCACCTCCTCCAAGGCCAGGAGAGAATGTCCACAGACTTGCACTTGCCTCACCACTCCCCCTCCAAGCACAAGGCCCAGCCACAAAACCTAGATACTGCCTGGTTACCCTGAAATGGCAAGATCAAGTTTTGCCCTGCTGAGAAGAATGGGGGCTTGAGAACTAAGTTACAGATACATAACCTTGCCTTTATTATTTTTTTTAACACTCCAGATTGTGACCTGTGAAATTAGAATCTGATACACAAATCACCCTGAGCAACACGGCCTCCCCACAGATGAGCAATTCTCTCAGCCAGTGGAAGTCAGGACAGGCTTCCCAGAAAAGGAGCCACTTGGGTTAACAATATAAAAGGATGAGAGTATCAGACTGATGGTGGTGCCTCTTGCATCACTGAGTCCCTGACAACCTGCTCACCTGTACTGATATCTGAGCCTCGTGCCCTTTGATTGTTATTTATTTGATTTTCAACATTGATTGCTAGGAACCGAGAAGATAAGCCATGTATAGCTGACGAGGACACTGTTCTCCTCATAACTATGTAGCTACTTCATTTGATTGTACTATAATTACCTGTTTATGTATCACTGTCTTCAACCTCAGTACTGTCGGGGTCTGAGCCATATCCGCACCCTAAGCATTTAGAACTGAGCTCTGAAGTACATGACGAGCCCGCCAGTACACAGGTGAGCCGAACAGAGACGTGGGGTTGGGGCGCCCTTCAGGCACACGTCTTCCTGAACAGTCTTAGTGCCACGCCCCGTCACGTGAGGTGCTCCCCGCTGTGGATCGAAGGGGTGCAAAGATCATGCCTTCTGCCACTTCCCCTTGCAGAGCAAGGCCACTTGCATTGCGTAGGAGTGGTACTGGGGACATTTTATTCCCAAGCAGTGACTTGCCTGTCACCATTGGGGTAGATTGCAACCAGCTGGACCAGGCCTTGTGGTGAATAGGCAGGTGATGGTCATATTAGGCTTAACAAGAAAATCATTGTAGTGGAGTATGTTTAAAGGAACATGAAAGCATACAGTTTCCATGAGGGTTACGTTTTCAAAAGCAATAAGATAGGCTGTGGGTTTAGTTGAGTAAATTATGTTGTCAGTAATGATCAGATGACACACTAATCTTTACACGTTGGATGTATTTTCTATACTTCTCAGTCAGGAACACAGAGAAGCAGAACTTACTGAACAAGACCTTTAGTATCCTCGTGACTTGCATCTGTCTCCATTTCTGCTGAGATGAGATGGTGTCTTCAGTTCTGGAGACCCATGGCGGAGCTCTTAGGTGGGGGTAGCCATGGATTTAGGAACCATAACTTTAACCGATTTTCTGTTGCGGCCTTGGGTCTCATTCTTTGCCACAGTGAGCCTCATTATGATATGGAAAACATCTGAATTTTGGCATTTCAGAGCAGCAGAAGACCCGCTCATCTTTCTTCACAGTAGCTAATGCATAACACGTTGCTGTGATCAGTAGTTGAAGGAAGCCACTTGCATTCACTGAGCCTCAATTTCTACCTCCGTAAACTGGGGAGTGTTTCGTGACCCTACTCAACGGTGCCCAGAGAAGGTACCAAGAAGAGGCAGAAAAATATCAGAATTCCTGGGGCTTTCTAGTCTACTTTTTCTGGGGATCATCTTCCAGCTTCCCACGTCTGTCCTTTTTGGTGTTCAGGTTTACAGCCACTTCTCTCCTCAGTTACGTCTCGGTAGGGCTCTTTTACCCCAGAGATTCCACAGGTGTGCCACAAACTGAGCATGGTTGTGTGCCTCACTCCCTCCATGGGGAGGCTGCTCCCAAGGGAGGGACCATATGGCTTCCAGCCCACAGCCCAGCGCATCACCTGCACCTGACATTCACCTGCTTGGCCTTGAATCAATAGATGGATAAATAGATGCATTCATGCATTGTATTTCTAATAGCTTTCTCCTCCTGGAGAAAGCCAAAGTTGTCAAACTATGACAGTAGAAATTTCATGCTCTGTGACAATCTCCCAAGGAAATAACAGAGGGCAGGTGAGATAGTTGAGACCTACTGCGTTTTACCCATGAGACATCCACGCACTCAGGCTGGTGTCAGGCAGCCCCGGGGACTTTCAGACCAGAGGGGTGTAAAGAGTTGTCAAGAGATGAGTATCGCTTCCTGCAGAAGGACTGAAAGAGAAAAAATACAGAGAGGAGGGAAGTGCACACACAGTTTAAACGTCTTCTGTTTCTGTAGAGTTTTAAAAAATTTGGAAATTTTGTTTCCCCCATAATCCGTAGTTTCTCTGGCCAAGCAGAAACATGACATTGTTTGGAGTGACAACAATGAGCCAGTATAATTTTCAGACCCTCAATCCTTGAATTTCTCTCAGCAGGAATGAGTTGGGGCTCACAGATGACACCGAATTCTGCTATAGACATCCTCCTTACTAACTCCTCACTACCTGTTAAAACATGTCCATCTTGTTAACAATAGAGAGGCATCTGCTCTGATCAGTCCCCTTGCCCCATAGAAAAGCCTCATGTCACCTTTCAAGTGGCACCTTTGAGATATATATGCCACATCACAAGTGGATAAGGTGGTTTGGGCCCACTTGGTCTTTGGGCAAATTTCTCCTCTACTCCCTTTACTCCCATTGATCTTGGGCTTGTGGCCTTTCCAGAGAGAGGCGGGCGTTCTTTGGTGGAGAATTTGTCTACTGTCTCCTGCAGGACCCTCTCATGGGCAGGACAGGAATCAGCCTGAATTCATGCAGCCATCACTCCCTGGTCCATGTCCTGCCTCTCCTTCAAGGGCCTTTTGTCAGCAGAATCCTGATGGATGATCCTGCATGTGCAGTGATGGTGGCCTAGGCACAGCCAGGACCTCTTTTTGTACTGACAATCCAGGAAGATGGTATGGTCACAAAGAACCACAGGGTAAGGGCACACAGAGGTGTCACTACCCAACTCAAGTTCACCAACCTTTCTAGATGCCCACTCTGTAGAAAGTACTCTGCTAGGTACCAGGAACGTAATGGTGACTAATACCCAGAATGTGCCCAAGCTCTCAATCTGTTAAGGGACATAGGTGTGGAAGCCACCAATGGTACTGGAAGGTAGAATGACAATAGCAGAACTTTCTGCAGGGGATAGAGGTTGCCCAGAGGAGGAATGGTTTTTTTCTATTCGGGGAGGGTGGTTAGGGAAGACTGTAACACACAATGTTCTTTCTGAGCTGGGTTTTGAAGGGTGAGTAGGAGACTTATACAAGGAACAGGGCATTTCTAGGCAGAGGAAACATCATGGGTAAAGATCCATAGACCCAGCTTGTCTGAAGGCGTTCAAGTATTTTGAAGTGAAGGCAACCATGGGGACAAGAGCAGCTTAGAGGAGATATATGGCGAACGGTTTTATTTGAGTTTCTGTAACCTTCGGCCTCTTGATAGACTGATTGAACTGCTACTGAATTCTCACAGGCTGTTAGTTCAAGGGAGGTCAAACTTGCAGTGTCCATGATGTTTTGCCAACTATCAAGGCTTGGGGTGGGTGGATATTCCTCCTACTGGCTGCAGCTCCAGCCCCACCCCCTTCCCAGCTCATAAACCCTCCAGCCTCGCTGCGTCTCCACGGGCAGGACGGGGAGCTCCTCGCTCACAGGCGAAGAGCAGCGCACACAGCGGCGAGGGAACCCGGAGGAGGGAGTCACGGAGGACAGTGGCCATGGACCTGGTCCCAAGCTTTTCCATAGAAACGTGGGTTCTCCTGGCTACCAGCCTGGCGCTGCTCTATCTGTGAGTAACTGTCCAGGTTCATATCATCTGTAACCTCAACTTGGGGGGCTAATCATGTCCCCTTTCTCTTATCTGTTTGAAGATCAAAGTAAATGGAGGGGAAGTTGCTTTAGCAGTGAGTGCTACAAACACCAAAGGGGGTGATTGCTGATTTTAGCCAGATCTGTTGAAGGAGTTAAAACTCTCCCGAGTTCCTTTTATTGTAGTTAGGAGGGAACAACAACAATGATTTTTCTCCTGGGGATGATCTTTGAATTGACTCCCAGTTTGCGTGGACCTAGACTAAACCGGCATCCGGCAAAGGCAGATTAAAAAAATTGGCCCCTGTGCAGTGAGGTCCTCACTCCCTTCCCAAACTCTAGGGACCCTGAGAGAGGAAGAAGTAAGTTGGGTTTTTGTCTTTCATTTTCTGGATTCTGTGTCTGCTGCAAAAGATCTCTAGAAGGACTTGCCCCTGTATCACTCGGGAGGTTCTTCTCCCTTCCCTTCATCCCCAGGCGTCATTTACACAAGGCCCCTGGTCACCCAGTCTTTGTGGGGCTGGAGACCGAGCTCCCTTTTCTTCAGATTCAGTTCTTCCCTGTCTCTGTGCCTCGTCCCATGGCACTCTCTTCCTAAGACTCAAGTCTTCTACCCTGTACTTTGTAGAGCTATCTACCCCAAAACGAGAAGTCTGTAGACCAGATGTGACTTGGCAGAAATCTTGAAATTATTTTCATTTCTTTCCTCTTTTCCTCCAGTCTCTGGGAGGGTTAGCATCAGCATAGAAATTAATTTTCCCCATGATATGAAATCTGCTAAGCCTGCAAAGACACAATTCCCCAAATCTAATTTGGCTTTTAAATAGTTCTTCCCTGTAAGTACAGTGCAGGCCGATGAATCAGCCGTCTAGCAGATGGACTCTTTCCAATGGTGGGATCCCCGGCATCGTGGAGCAGGTTAGGTGAGGAGCTATTCCAGCAAGTGGGTAGGGAAGGCTCCCTCCATGTCACATTTGACCTGTACCTCAACGTCACTTACGTTAAGAGTAGGAAATATGACATGAACATAGACTAGGTAAGCCTCATTTTAATTTTTGAAAGTAATGTTAGGAATTCAGATATCGTGGCAACATATTTTCTGTCTGATGACATTTTAAAATTAATTTATATGGTTTAATTTATTCTATGTAATATGAGATTTGTTATTGCCATAAGACTCGTTCTGTTTTTGAGGACAGATCCAAACTCCCAGCTGGGCTTGGCCAAGGTATCTCTGCTGCATCCTTCAAGCACAAGTTCTTTTGTAGTTTTTCAGGTTTATTTTATCACATATTATAAGATTTTCTGGATTTATACAGAATACTTGGATCCTGTAAGACCTTAAAGTCTAACTTCCAAAGAAGAGAGAAAGTTTTAATCCACTGATCTGGAACATTTTATGGTTACTCATTTTATGTCTCACGATGCATCTTTTGCTGTCCACAGGAAGGTACCTGAAGTTTGGAAGGCCCCCTGTTTTAGCTAAAAGTGCTTTGTAGGGCATGTTGAGCCCTTTATGCACAGCATACTTTTCAGCCATACCTCCCTAATGTGTACAGTGTTAGCCTTGGAGGCCTAGCAACTTGTGGTTAAAATGATTGCTGGCAGCCTCTTCCCTCTTCCTTCCTTCTCTTCTCCTCCACCCTGTCATCTCTCAGTAACACCAGAGTGAGAAGGCTTGCAGGGACCAAGAACCTTGAGTTATTAGGTGTCACACATGATACATGAAAGATGAGTGGCAGCAGACCTGCCATAGGAAGCACCAACCTTAATGGGGTTTTGGGATAATTGACACAGAGAGGCAATAAACTGACTGCTTTGTGGCTGAGCATCTTGAAAAAAAAATGAGTGTGCCTGGGGCACAGTTTAGCAGGTGAGTTCACAGGTGGGAGGGCCAGATTCTAGGAGGGGAGGAATGATCTGGAAATGGATTCCATAGTCATTGGTTCCTTTATAGTTTCATTCAGGGATAATAAGGGTCAATCACCTTTCTCTGTAGCTCAAGTCAATGAAATTGCCTGACGACATAGACTTGGATGTAGCTGGAAGGTGCTCACATTTCTATGATGGTAATGGAAGCCTTGTGCACAGTTTCATTCTACAGAAATAAAAACATTATTGTTCTCCAAGGCCTGATTATGAAGATAGATTTAAGAAGAACCAGATCCTAAAATGGGGTCAGGGCATAGAGGGAAAGAAAAGCATAAAAATCTTCAAACAAACTATGGAACAATGTCACAGTAGGCTCCTAATACCTCTCTGTTATTGTGTGGATGCCGTTAAGCTACATCTCATTATTAGAACAGAAAAAAAATTCCCTTTCTACCTAGGATGAGAATCTCCAGATTATCTTTGAGTCAAGTTAGTAAGTAAACATGAGTGACTTCCCTGGAAGAATTCCAGCCTGAACCTCTCAGGAGCACTTAAATTCAAAATATTTATCAAGTATTCACTCTAGGATGGGGACCCTGAAGACTTTAGTTGCTTTTAGCTAGTCATCATTACCTTTTGTGAGTCTCACAGTGGAGGTGGGAAGGGAAATGACGAGTGAAAGTAATTATTGCTTTTGGAGTCGCTGTTTTTATTCATCGCTTACACGTTACCTCCGTAGACTGACCGTGCCAGTTGCAAGTCAGTGACAGGCCAGCCTCAGGACGTAATCCACAATCCCCGTGACCTGGTTTTCTCATTCACTTCATAGATACGGGACTTATTCACATGGATTTTTTAAGAAGCTGGAGATTCCTGGGCCGAGACCTCTGCCTTATTTTGGAAACGTCCTGGCCTACCGAAAGGTGTGTGCTGTTTGAGCTCCCTCTTTTGCTTCTCTTATGGTTGCAAATCCCAGCTGAGTTTCATCATAAAAATGCCCCTTCTCAGGAGGTTCTGAAGTTTCACACTTTCCAGAAATGCATCGTAGGCCCCACTCAGCACGTGGCCAGTTTTCCCCCAGGCTCCATTGTCAGCTGTTAGGAGCCTCAGGTTCTGTCTCAGGCAGACAGCCCATCTCCCTGGCTGATTCAGCACAGGGCTTGAAACTCCAACTTGTGAGCATCGTGAAGAGAATTTTCTTCAGATTTCAAGAAGGTACAGCCCCACCGCATTAGGAGAGAAGCCCGAAGGGCTTTCTGAGTCATGGCTCATCAAGCTGTTCCCACTAGGGCCGGACTTTCCTGTCGGTAGTAGAACTCTTGGCACCCTTTCTTCCCCTCCCCCTGGATTGCTTGGACACTTCAGTTTCTAAGGCAGCCTGAGTATTCAATTTCAGGTAATTTGCACATAATTGGATTCTCTCAAGATCTGCTAATGCCTTAGGTTATATCCATGGCTCTACTCCACTTTAATGCCCATGATATCTTTTCTGTTTTGAGAGATGGAACAAAATCTTTCTGCTTTACTTCTGTGCCTTCAAATGAGCTACCTTGTGGGTGAGTCTATGCAAGGAGTGAGGATAACAGAGAAGATGACTGGTGGTTGTCTATTTATTTCAGATATTTAACCACTAAGTGACTTGTGGTTTTTTAAAAACAAGTCAGAATCACTTATACAAAATCATTAGAAAGGACATGCATGACAGAATTATTATAAATTTAATTTAAGTGAATGGAATGTACTAAGTGACAGATGGATTGTGAATTCCAGCAGAGCCCTGATGTTAATCCAGCTCTGATGCCTCCTCGTCTGGGGCCTGGTCCCTCAAGAGAAGTGCCCAGACGTCCAGGGGCAGAGCCTCGTGCGCAGGCTGCTCTCTGCCTCAGATTTCCTTTCCTGCAGACCTGAGGCTTGTTTCTCAGATCCTCATTCTCCCAGCTGAGCCTTCATTGTCTCATTACCACCTAAGAACTGCTTGAACTTTGTTCCTTCTGAAAAGGCAACAATTTCCTTTCCACCTTCCCCAGATGAAGTCCTTGGTGGATGCACTCCAAGACCCACACTTCGAGGACCTTCATTTGCATAATTACACCATCAAATATCACAGCAGAAACTTAACAATAGGGAGTTTGGGTTTTTTTTTTTAAGTTACGGAAGAGAAAACTCAGGGCACGTGTTTTAATTCCCACTGTCTTTGTGGAGTTGTTGTGTCTTCCCCTCTATTTCGTGTTGAGCTGGAAAGTTAGAAGGCGAGTCTACTTTGTGATTAATTCATTCACTCACTTTCTCACTCAATTCAAAAGTCCTAGACTTACTTATATTTGTTTGACTAACAGAGGTCACTGTTGTATTTAACCTCCTAATTCTGCCAGAATTCTAGACAGAGCTCATGAGATAAATGAAAAGGATGCTCAACTAGAAGGTGAAAGTGTGTACGGGCCACCCTAACTTTCCCTAAACTTCAGTTTTCTCAGAGAAGACGAGGAGGTACTTAGTATTCATAGGCAAAGTTAGTCATTTAGTATCTACAGCAGTTGGAGAAAAATCAAGTTACTTTAAATTCTCTGCTTCAAATATCTCCTCTATTTTCCCTCCTTTCCCCTAAGACATCTGAATGAGAGCTTCCCTCCAACTGCCAGTGAAACAGGAAGCCTGATTTCGTGGGTTTTCAAGACTTTTTTGTCCCAATTAGAGGTAGGATTTAATTTATTTAGTTTAATAATTAATTTTTTGTTTTTTCTTGCAGGGTTTTTGGGCTTTTGACAGTAAATGTTTTAAAAAGTATGGAAAAATATGGGGGTGAGTATTCTGGAAACTTCCATTGAATAGACTTGTTATGGTGAGGCCCCCCACACTGTGGAGGACAGTCTCAGTGCAGAGCTGCTTGTGCTGAAACCATCAATAGAAAGCTCTGGGAGGTTGTTCTACCAGGGACCCCCCATGTCACCGGGTGTGCAGGTCTGCAGTGAGTCAGGCCCGGAGAGCTGCAGGCCATCACTTTCCTCCAGACTTTGAGGGCCCAGGGACTCTTAGCATCACTTTCTGTCCAGTGTCTCACGATTCCCCTTTTCTTCATTTTTCTTTCCTTCCTTTTATTGCCATAAAATGCATTATTTCAGATCACTCATATTTGCTCCATTCCACCTCTCCCACATGATTCATTTTCAACAAAAGCCAAAAATCTTTTATTTAAATTTTGGATATATTATGTCCTTTGGGAAAAGAACTGGAGGTTACAGGTAAACAGAACTGCAAAACATTTCTGCTGAGCTTTTTACTTTCTCCACAAGAGGAGTTTTAAAACTTTTAAAATTTTAAGCCAAGACTTTCCAGTAGAAGCGTATTTGATTATTGTTTTATCTACTCTTTTCCTCTGACTTTGAAGAGATATGGGATTTACCCAACCCAGAGCATGTCATGTGGGCTGATAGACTTCCAGAGATGTTAGGGGTTTGGTGAGAGCAGCAGGAGAGGTGTAATGTAGTGATTATTTGCCAAAAGCAAGAGGGAGAAGGTTTTACCTCTCCATACTTCTTCATTGCTTCTGAAAACTCTTCAGAAACTACAGGGCTTTGCTGAGCTGGCATGGCCCAAAAGGGTAACGTCATTGAGTGAAAGAGCACATGGCACTGGATTGCCACTGGACCAGCTCCAACATTTAATGCTTGTGAGCTCAGGGTGGAGTCAGTTTTTCATGGTGGATCCCAGTTCTCTCTTTAGAAAATAGTTCTTATGCTTGGGTGTAAATAAGAACCCCCTGCGAGGGCAGGTGAAAAATTCAGGCCTGGGCTTCCCCCTCCAGGAACTCCATATCTGGGGAATATGGGATGGGGTCCAAGAATCTGAATTTTATCTGGTGGTATACTAAATACTAATGCTGGTGTGACATCATAAATACAAAGTGTTACTGTAAACCACTATCCCTCGTATACCCCTTTTTTTGGAAAAAACATAATGGGAAGAAGGCAGTCAGCAAGGAATATGATCAACTGAAAATATGATCAAATGGAAGAGCAGGTGAGGTGCCTCCTCACTCACTTCTATCAAAAGGTCGGCACTAAATACACATGACACCCACTTAAATCCTCTGAGTTTTAGTTTTTGGAAATGGGCAGCAGTAATTAAGTCATTCTCATGTATTTTTATGTGTGATGGTAAAACCATTTGAAATTCCTCTGTCTAGTCAAAGAAAGAATAGCTGACTTGTAGAAACTCTTCCAATTTGTTCTAGCAATTGCAAATGACTGATAGTGGGAAACAAAATGCCAGAAGACAATGTAATTAGCTTACAGTAAACCTCATGCCGGTGGCCCATTCCCATGAGTGGCCATCCTGACAGTCAGGAGATCAAGTCACACGGGGATGTATTACATGTGAGGAGTCAGCTTTGTGTGGTAGGTGCATCAGGAGGGGACCGGCCCTCCTGCTAAGGGATGTCACCTACGTGGAGCACAGTAAGTAATAAAATGAATATATGTTTTTAAATGAACTATACATGCTCCAAATTATTTTATTCTTTGTCCTTTTGTTTCAGATTTTTCTAAACTTAATGCTACCAAGGATATCTCTTTATTAGTTAAAATAATATTTCCTTCAAGAAATTATAAACTAGAAAGCAAATTTTAGAAAATAGAGCAAAGAAATCTTTGGTAATCTTACTTTCACTTTTGAGAACTTCAAATCTTCTTCCATTTGTAGATACATTGCTCCATAGTTATGGTCATTGTGTCTACAGATTTTGTATGCATTTTCATGCTTCTGATAGATCTTCAAAAATGAATGAGTGGACTCTCCTAAAATTAATTATTTTTTTAACATTTTTT